AAATATGTAGAGTATGGGCACTTTACGACACCTTTCTAATCCAACAGTTAGATGCCTCACAGGGGGATTGTTTTAGCTGTAAAGTTCTGCTCTTCACAAGCAATAGGTAAGAAAATTATACACTCAGCCCACAATTCAATTTGATTCACGATACTGGATCCAAATTCCAGTATACTCATGATATTTTGAACAAAATTAATTAAATTAATTAAGAAAAATGATGAATATAATGTTTTTTTTTCTTTATTATAAGCATTTAGCTTAAGCTAATATGCAGTCCCAGTCCCTGATAAGGCTTTTAAATAGAAGAAAACAAATAAATAATATAGCATGAACAGTAAATACATTAAACCTAGGTATTTATCTGTATGATTATATAGTATATGAATGCATGTTATTGCACGACTTACATATGACACTACAGCTGGGAGGCAGGAAGAATTATTGGGGTGAGATGTTGTTCGGTGTGTTAAATGACACAGGTGTGTTAAATGGCACAGTGGATAAAATGTACTTCCATTGTGTATTTTCACACCTCCGCAATGTGTACTATCGTTACTGTGATATCACAATGTCACGATGCAGTGCTGAACCCCTGATCAAAATGTTTATAAAACTTCAGAAAAGTAATAATCCCTCATAATGCAAAAGAGTTAGTGCTGGCCCACACTACCACAAACAAAAGCCCAGAAACAAAAGCAACTAAAGGACAGCATAACAAGGGACAAGAGGGCCTCACATGACCAAATTACATTAAGAAAACAGAATGAGACCGAGCGGCACACAGTTACCGAGAACAGTCTTGATGCATTTTGCTTGAGAACAGAACGTGCTGAAAGTGCTTGATATGGCGCCGATGTACTAGATATGATAATTGCAGTATTTCCTCTCCCTCCATTCTGTTAGAAGCCATTTAAGGACAAGGCAAAATGACTGACAGCTACACTGGGTACACAAGAAGTTCCCTCGAGCTTTAAAGAATAACATCGAAGAACCACAGGTGGCCCCTTTCGAACAGGGTTAGCATACAGGGTTAGCCAAGTGCTAAAAACAGTTACTCTTGAGGCAGAAACATGACTGTATTTGTTTGTTTTTATCTTAGCTAAAAGAGACGAATTCATAACTAGAGCAGGTGCACAAATAAAAGTGCTTTAAAGAGGCTTTTGCTGGGGTGGTCCCCACCTGGGGCGTTTCTTTAGCTCTGAGAGGGGCTGTCCTGTGGGAGATTATGAAGCGTGGGAGCTTGGGCTGGACCTAAATTCTCCAGGGAGGCTGGCTCTAAGGGTGGGGATCCTTTCTGGTTCTGGAGCCTATAGTTTTGCTCAGTACTTTTCCTTACTGAAGCTTTCAGACTGTTCCCGCTAGCCTTTAGCAGCCATGACTAACCCACAAACAATAGCAATTCAGCAGGCAGCCATTAGAGCAGGCCTGTTTCAAGGAAATAGGCTCTTGTTCCACACATACTTCCGCACAAGCATTACATAGGCCTTGGCAAGCCTGCAAATCATATGAAATTATTTAACCATTAGTAGTATAAGGGAAAACACTAGATACATACACTGTAAGGACAAAAGTATTGGGACACACCACGATCAACTGTGAGTGGTGATATTGAAAAGTGGAAGGGTTTAGGAACCACAGCAACTCAGCCGTTAAGTGTCAGACCACATCGCTGAGTTCTAAGGCGCGTAACGCATAAAAGTCACCCGCATTCTGCTGACTCAATAACTGAGGAGTTTCAAACCTCCTCTGGCATTAACATTAGCACAAAAACTGTGTGCCGGGAGCTTCATGGCTTGGGTTTCCACGGCCAAGCAGCTGCATGCAAGCCTTACATCACTAAGCACAATGCTAAGCAATGGAGTGGTGTAAAGCACACCGCCACTGGACTCTGGAGCAGTGCAAACGTATTTTGTGGAGTGATGAATCGCTCTCGTCCAACATCAGTACCTGACCTCACAAATGTTTTTTTGGATGAATGGGTGAAAATTCCCACAGACACACTCCAAAATTTTGTAGAAATTGTTTTGAATTTAGAATTAATGACTGATTTGTAAAATGCTCAGTCATTTGAGCACGAGTGCATGTATAACATAAACAACTCTGCCTCACAATCCACTTTGCTGTGATACAACATGCTCAGATGCCTTGTTAACAACTGTGTTAATGAAAAGGCGATATATGTGTTACCTTCTGAGGAAACCAAGGAGTATATCAGCAATACGGTTTTCAGTTTCAATACACTGTTTTATATATTCCATTTTTCTGTACATATTGAAACGGTTCACTGAAAAGTAATGAACAAGTGTTCATTTTCTGCTAATTGTACTATGTAAGTTTTTATTTAGTTTAACATACTGGGAAAAAATATTTAAAATATGCCTTTTTTGAACAGAAAACTTTTTTTTTCAATATGCTGTATTCTGCAAATACAGTAAATATGCATTAATATGTGCAGAACATTGTTCTCTGAAGAGGATGTGTTAACTTATTTTCCAGAAAATTTAGAAAATCAACAAAACATGTAATTGGGTGCATCAAATATGACCATAAACGCAACAAAATCCTTCTCTAGTTTGTTAGGTGAACAATAAATTAGCCTCCTACAAACACTGCAACAATATTAATTGCTTAGCAACAAATATATTCTGAACATCTGACAAAATAAGAAAAAAAGAAAAGGATCAGTAAGATTTGCGGTAAAGTATTACATCTATAATCCTTATCAAAAAGAGTAGAAGCATCGATAAAAAACCCAACTATGCCCCTCTCTAGTGAATGCTGTTAAAGATTTCTGGAAATCGGTCACTGGACATGCTGAGCACTAGGAGCAACTGGTGCAATTTATGCAGCAAAATGACCCGTACGTAAGTCCATACAACTTTGCGATCTTGAGTGGCAAAACATCCACATTGCAGTAAACACCTGCAAGTGCGCACACTCACACACACCACACACTTTTGTTATCCAGTTTTAGAATGTCTTTTGTATACACACACAGTAAAGACCTATTAGCAACATGACTAAGCTTTCCGAACAGACAAAATCACTTCCTAACTACAGACACGTCAGCCTGGGAACTGAGCTTTCTCAAACAGAGTGACATGGGAAAGAAATGAGGAAAGTTACAGAGATGGAGTGTTTGGCACTAAAGATGTGGAGAAACCCTGAAAAAGAGTGAGAGAGAGAGAGAATGAAAGAGAGACAGGAAGGGAAAAAGGGGAAAATTGGGACTGCAGGGAAACTGGTGCTTTGGCAGTCTGTCAGAGCACAGCTCAATCATTTAAAACAGAAAAACACACACAGGCCATTTTTGTGTAGGACTACATTGTAGTAACTAATAATTCTCTTCTCCAACAAGAGACTCCACGAACCCAGTTTGTTGCTCCAAGCAACTGTCACTGAAACAGACAGAACCAATACTCCAATAAAACAAGCACAATCCAGAGGATTTCATCCAGAACTCTTCATTTCCACTTAATAGCCCCAAAATCTATAAACACTTCATCTAATCTAATGCCAAAATAACCATTACATAACTACAGTAAATACACAAAGATTAATGCTGCTGACTGAAACTCAATTAAGCAGAGTATATTATATAAACCTCCTTCTTATTTTGATGATGTCAGAGGGAAATCAAACATAAAGCTCTATTCAAGAAGGATTAGATTATACCTTGGTAGGTGCTGTAATTTAAGTGATTACTGACAAGATCAGAGTTTTTAATCCAGTATGAATCTGCCATGTCTATAGTTTTTACAAGTCTGCTAAGTAATAATTCTGGAGTAAATTACCTTCTACAATATACTGAACTTTGAGCTTCCTCAGTAATAGCAGTCCTGTTCACATCCACATCACAGTAATGTAATAACAAAAACAAGTAATGGAAAACAGCAGCTGCATTTTTTCTTTTTTTTAATGACCTAAAGACAAGACTAACAGCTAAATGGAGCTTGCTCTGACCCTACTCCTTAATGCTCAAGTTAATGACAAAACTCTTAAAACCCACAACAACTGTAATATACTCCCTTGTGTCTGCTAAGAGTACGCACCATCAATTGGAATTGCTGTTGATAACAGGCGCCACTCAACACTGAAATATGATGTAAAGTCTCCTTCTTCATCCAGCATCACATAAAGCTGAGTTTAGATCCGGGCTATCTGGGGTGATTTGGGGAAATTACACAGATCCTTTATCCCGTACAAATTAGCCAGTCAAATCATGCACAAATTACAATACCAGACCCCCTCTGGTAAAACTAATCCAGCTCAAATAGGGTTTAGGAGTGTAAATACTTATATTTGGTCCCCTGTAATAGTAATAACTATGGGTGATGAGGCAAAAAAATACATCATCTTCATACAGTACTGCGCAAAAATCAGACCATCCTTCATTTATTTAATTTCCAATAATCCACTTGCATTAAGCAGGGGAAGTTGAAGGAAAATTCCAGAAAAAAAATTATATAAAATACAAAGAAATATACGTACAAAGAAAATGGAAGACCTGGTGATACCAATTACACACTCAAAAGAGCACACTGTGATGTAACTTACTACAGTACTGATAACATGCCATGTTGCCTTCGCTCATTACCAAATATTGGGTGCAGTAGCCCCAGGACAGAATCTGAGTAATACTGCATGACACCATGTCATAGTCAAGAAGACGAAATGACAGATGCAAGATAATATTAATGAAATTTGCAAGATGACACAACCGTTGCACTGAGCTTAACTGTGAGAACAAAATAAAATGAAAACAGTCTAGCTTGGTTAAAAGAAAGTGAATTAATGAATGAATGAATGAAGGAGAGAGGACAGATGAATGAACAGTGCCATTTTCCCCCAGGAAGATTAAGCCTTGTTCACGGATTAAATAACAGCGTCACTGCTGATAATCCATTAACAGCACAACTAGCTTTATCTGAGTGAAAGTGGATCAGAGTCAAAGGTGAAGAGTGAAATTCGGCCAAGGTCAGGAGTCACGGATTTACCTTGGTAATGAGTGTCCGGTACTCCTCCACCTGATGATCGTTGTTATGGCAACCAGCCAGGAGCTGCCACACCTCCCCCCTCAGGGCTTCTGGGACACCGCTGCGGACAAGTGCTGGTAACTGCTTGGGCCGCACCGCCAGATTCATGTGCCTGCAAAAAGAGAAGAAATAAAATAAAGAAATACGGTCACGATATCATCAAAATTGTTATATCACCAATATTAAATTGAACATTACAGTGATAAACAGATCTAAAGCATGAACTATGCCAGTAGATGCTCTAGAATGGTAAATACAAATGTGCCAAATGCCAGTCTTAAGCGTACACTGCCAGAGCTCATTTAAATGGAGAACAATAATGTGGTAAACAACATCCATGGCCCTGTTTACACGTGGCATTTGCGTGCCTCAAGTGATACAGAGTACAAGTTTGAACACTGTCCAACATGTCTCCGAGATGCATCTTGACCTGATCGGCAGTAAGGGAAACATATGACCTCATATAATTTGTTGTGTGAGCACTCCCCCTGCAATGATAGACAGCATTATCAACTCTGCATGACAGCACAGATGAAAGTAGATATGAGGATTTTCTTTCTCCGCCACTTGTCCTTTTTATTTAGATCTTGCATTAACAGTCCTATTGATCCAAAAGTTCATAACAGCCCATATATTTACACAAACAAGGACTTGATTAAAGATAAACCATGTAAGATCTAGGCATTTGAAGATGCCTCTGTTGGAAATATAGGGAAGTCTAAAAGTCTGAGACCACAATGAAAATTATGGTATTTCATTTAAATCTGGAAATAAACAACACAAAGTTTCAGAATTTAAAAAAATATATATAAAACCAAGAAAAGTTATGCCAATTAAGAAGGAGAAATATTGTGCTCTATTTCAAGGTCACTATTATATACTCAAATGAAATTGATCATGTCTTTATACAAAGAGGTCAGATTTTTTTTCTTTTCAGTTTTGCATTTGAAGCACAAATAGGTTGTATTCTATTTATGCATTTAAAGTTAAGCTCAAAAAAAAAAAAACAATAAAAAATATATAACAAAATAATAAAAATAAAAAACACCTGTCGTGGGTAACTCACATTCTTCTTGCAATTGTTTAAAGATTTAAACAAACTATCATAAAACACGAGACACACTAGACAGCAAACACAGACAAAAAATATACACATAGGAAAAAAATGTTGTATAGAAAAATATTGCACATTGCATATATCCTGTGGAAAGAGGCTTTCCTAAATAAGGAGGTAGTCAAAGAAGCTTTTGTTCTCCGTGGCTAAAATCAAGCAGAAATGTAATGTTATTGTCCTAGTTTTTGCAAATGTCCCAATTTTGTGCAGTGAAGTTGACTGTTTATTCCCAAGCGAAGGGCGATGCTAAGGAAGCATTGCATTCAACTAAGACAGCTTGGTAAATGGTTAGAGTAAAAGGAATAATGTCTCAATTAAATGTTTTGATGTTTTCTACTCTTTTCTAGAGTAAAAGCAGTGCATAAATTAAAAAGACACTTCCATCTCCGTCATTTACACTGAGATTTCTTGACCCATGCAAACTGGTCATAAACTTTAAAGATGTCCTGTGGTAAACTGGCATTACCCTACCTCCCCATGGAAAACTAACCCATCTATACAGGGCTTAAGGGAAGAAAACGCTTCACTACAATCAGTATTATAATTGCAACCATACCAAATGAAAAGGAATACTCTCCCAGTCTCCAAGATGATGTCACTGGAGTTTCTCTGGCATATGCATTTTATGCAGTTAGAGTCAGTCAGTCAGTGTGTCAGTTAGGTACATTGACTATTCAACCCACCAATCCAGCAGGTTCATTCCTGTACAATTTTTCAGTTCTTATCCATCTTTACTTCCAATACTTTACACCCAGCAAGTAGTAACTGTTTACAAAATCCAATGGTTTCTAACAGCTAAATGGAAGAAGCATACATAAATAAACCTTTGCAGTATGCATAATGTGAATACTGAACACATTAGCTGTTAAACGGTTCAGGTCAAGCTAGTGATTCGAAATGCAGGCCAGTCAAATCCACTAACTACATGGAAGCTTCGTCCTTTGAAGTGGAGACTACAATGCTCTGCTCAATGAAGGCACCTCATGAAGTGCAGATGCCTGATTCAATGGCAATTAGGGACAAAGCACAGCAATTGCTTGCATTGTTACCAAAACAAGGAAAGCCAGGGGCTTGGAAGGGGAAAAACAAGAGCAACGACAGACATGCAGATGTGACCAACACACACATGGGCACACACGTGCGTGCGGTTCCAAGCCATTTAGTGCAGAGGCAGCCACAAGCCTTTAATTAAATTCCTGAGCTTTTTAATTGAATTCATCTCGAGGTTTTGATTAAGAACAATGAGAGTAATGGGAGCAGGAAATAATCTTAATAAGACCCTTATCTGACCATCCTCCCTTTCTCCCCCTCTTTCTCTTTCTTTCTTCCTCAGTCCACCCCCACCTCTCTTTCTCTCTTAAAATATCTCCCTCATTTCCCTCCCATGAATGAGTTCTCAAATTAGAATGTTCTCTGTGTGTGTCTGTGTGTGTGTGTCTGTGTGTGTGTGTGTGTGTGTGTCTGTGTGTGTGTGTGTCTGTCTCTTGTCTGGGGTCCTGTCAGTGAAAAAGAGGAATGAGGCGGGGACAGAAGGCCAGAGACAGAAGCGTCTATCAGCTCCGCCTTTACTGGGGAAATAAATGGTAACAGAAAACTGCAGAGATGGCATGATACTACATTTTCTTTTCAAATACCAACACTGATACTGAAACCTAGATCAACTGAATATGACTTTATATTTATTTCTTTAAAACTTTATCAAAGCACTTCAGAAAAGCTACAAAAAAACTGAAATATCACTCAAAGTGCAAAATTAGTATTGCAAAATCAAAAAATTGTGATCCTAGTAAGCTATGTATTAGTGGTGTCTATAGTGGTTTACTATGACATTGTAGAACAAACCAGATTTGTTTCTTGTATCTGTACGGTCAGACTGTAGTCGCATTTGCTTGTATATGCACACTGGCTGCCACAGTAACTACATACATGCACATACACTGACCAGGAAGGGGCAAAACCAAGCAAGCTAAAAGAATGATCACACTATAATTCACAACAGCTTTTTACTTTTTAATAACTACAGCATGAATAGAGTAACATTAGCGCAGGTTGACCTGGTCATCATATTGTTAACAAGCTATAGGCTGCATCAGTAAAATTCAGAGACAGGCTTTTAGTTCAAAGCTTTCAATGAAGCAGTTACTGTAAACTACAGCATATAAAGTAAAAGTTAAGTTACCTAAATGTCTGTTTAAAGCTTCTATGCTCCACGTTTGAGCTGTAATATGTAAATATGCACCACTGACTTTCTTGTCGGACATTCCGACATCATGAACTGAATCCGGAAATCTGATCTGAATTAGATTTGAAACCACCTACAAATGTGGCTTGAATTTAAACGGAAAAAGTCAGATTTTGATTTGTGTGTCAATGTTTGTGAGTCACACTGATTTACACCGCAGAAAATCTGCCCTGCTTAAATCAGATTTGACCTTCCTGTATAAACAAGGTCTATGACTGGATGTCGGGGATGAAAATAAGAAACTGTGTTCACTTAGTGGATTTTTCATGTTCCGGTTCATGTGCAGGTTTATAAACATACTGCTACTGAAGAATTGACAACATTAAATACATTCATCAATTACATAATGAAGATTTTTTTGTCCTCTCATATAGGTAGCTATAACAAAATACACTGCTTTATAAATTAAAAATTCTTTGTATGGTCAAATTTGGCCAAATAGGAATGAGACAAATGTAATTAATCATGATTAACTACGTAAACTATTGCAACTAATTGCAATATTTTATTTAATTGCAATATTTAATACAGTTATTTTAATTGTTTTACAGCCCTACTATAGGTAAAAACTAGAGCTAGCTAATTTATTTAAGAACTTTAACACATACAAAAACACAGAAATATCACTTCCAGCGCAAATGTTTGCAAAACTACACTATACCTAAAAATTAAAGGGTGAAATGGACAGCATAACAACACATAGCCTGCTAATATAGTTCTCCTGTTAATGCTAGCTTACATGTGGCTCCTGTTATCATCTGCTTTACTATGCTAAGTTGCACCACCAGCAATTCTGTGATATTTCAAGCTACATATGTAACAGAAACTGACAAGATTCCAATCCAACATTTTCTGCTACTATCAGTCCAATATTGGGTACTGGGTACTGGACTGGCACCATCTCTAGGAAACTGACAACAGAGACGACACAAACCTCAACCATGCAAACGAAATAAAATGTGTAAAGGACAGGGCTAAACTGAGCCTTTATGCTAATGCATCTGTGGGTAGAAGTTGCTGCTCAAGAACAATGTAATAGTGGCTTGCACCTATAAAATGAACCGAATAAACTCAGCAAAACTGTTCATTTCTGCAAGGCACCCAGATCCTGCAGCCTCAATTCAGCACATAGCAGCATAGCAAAGGACGTGCAGAAAAGCCAAAATGACTATATAACAACTACCACTGGAATATTTAGCATTCTCTCACATTCAGATGGGGAAAGAAAGCCAAAAAAGGAAAGAACGTTGCATTCAAGTCCAAACGGTACAGGCTGGACGCCTATGCTGCCGTCTTTTGTAATTAAATATTTATATGCAAAAGCACGTTACAAGTTTGGATGGAAGCATTAAGCCTCCTGGATAAGCTGTGTCTGAGGGAGGGGGTTGGAAGGTAAGGGGTATGGGACAGCTGGTGTGCACAGTGTATAAAACGCACCATTTAGACAGCAGGTCTCCCCACGTCTCCAGAATCTTCTCTGCGCATTCTTTAGACACATCACCAGAACCACTCAGTAATGGCTCATCATTGTCTGAGAGAGAGAGATAGATAAAGATTGGGAAAGAGTAACTGTAAATTATTTGATATGAGCACTACAACTGTCTCACTACAACTGAATTCTGCATTAATGCATCATTATTTTGCTCACATGAACCAGTAAGCATACTGTTAGTTAGGACCAGGCTTCTGTGCGACTATCAGACACAGCCCGAAACAGTACTAATTATACCCAACATAAGAACTTTTTTTTAATCTTATTTAACACCCAAAACTAGGCTGATTAACTCTGGAGACAGCTAAGTATTCTCCATCATAATCAGTGTAAGGCTTTGAATTCAAGTATTCACAGAATATTAAGCAAAGAATGTTAATCTAATGTTAATCTAATGTTAATCTAATGTTTTACAAGCTTCAAATGGTATGTTTTTGTCCACAAAAACAGTTCTAAACCCTGTGTGGCACCCAGCTTGATTCTAACATGCAGTCATATGGGAAAGTCTGAGTACTCCTGGCAAGTTTTATTAATTTTCTAAGTGACAATAACTTAACACATCCTCTAAAAGGAACAAAGTTAAGGTTCAACTTTTGACATTTTTCTGCAATTTTAGTGCATGATAGCTATTTATTTATTAGTGTAACACATTGGAAAAAATACAACAAAATATATTGAATGTGCCATAACTTTTAGCACAGGCCGCATATTTTTTTCAATGTTAAACTCAGCAAACAAACAGTACATTAACATGTACAGAAATGCGTTCTCTGTAGACGATGTGCACTTATTTTTACTTAGGAAATAAACGTGCAATTTGACAAGGGCGCTCAAACTCTTGCATACTTTTGTCATATACACTGATAGACAACTGAAAGTTGTTCTTAAGGTTTATTGTTGGAATGGCAAAGACAGACAACTCTAAAGGAACTACATTTCTTGGCGGAAGAAATGTTACTAGTGATTAATGTTAGTTATTATTATGAGTTTTTTAAACCTCTAAATAATTTTTTCATACTGTATGTCCCACATTTTATAAGCGGTAGAAGCCAAGAGACTCGGTCCATAACAGCGATTTTATGACAGATACAATGCATCCGGAAAGTATTCACAGCGCTTCACTTTTTCCACATTTTGTTATGTTACAGCCTTATTCCAAAATGGATTAAATTCATTTTTCCCTCTTTACTCTTCTACACACAATACCCCATAATGACAAAGTGAAAAAAGTTTGTTTGAATGTTTTGCAAATTTATTAAAAAATAAAAAAACAAACCAAAATTCACATGTACATAAGCATTCACAGCCTTTGCTAAATGTTGAAGCACCTTTGGCAGCAATTACAGCCTCAAGTCTTTTTGAGTATGATGCTACAAGCTTGGCACACAACATTCACGGAGTTGCCCCGAAGCCACTCCTTTGTCATCTTGGCTGTGTGCTTAGGGTCGTTGTCCTGTTGGAAGATGACCCAGTCTGAGGTCCAGAGCGCTCTGGAGCAGGTTTTCTTCAAGGATGTCTCTGTAGATTGCTGCATTCATCTTTTCCTCGACGCTGACTAGTCTCCCAGTTCCTGCTGCTGAAAAACAACCCCACAGCATGATGCTGCCACCACCATGATTCACTGTAGGGATGGTATTGGCCAGGTGATGAGCAGTGCCTGGTTTCCTCCAGACATGACGCTTGGCATTCAGGCCAAAGAGTTCAATCTTCGTTTCATCAGACCAGAGAATTTTGTTTCTCATGGTCTGAGAGTCCTTCAGATGCCTTTTGACAAACTCCAAGCGGGCTGTCTTGTGCCTTTTACTGAGGAGTGGCTTCCGTCTGGCCACTCTACCATACAGGCCTGACTGATGGAGTGCTGCAGAAATGGTTGTCCTTCTGGAAGGTTCTCTTCTCTCCACAGCGCAATGCTGAAGCTCTGTCAGAGTGACCCTTGAGTTCTTGGTCACCTCCCTGACTAAGGCCCTTCTACCCCGATCACTCAGATTGGCCGGGCGGCCAGCTCTAGGAAGAGTCCTGGTGGTTCCGAACTTCTTCCATTTACGGATGATGGAGGCCACTGTGCTCATTGGGACCTTCAATGCTGCAGAAATTTTTCTGTACCCTTCCCCAAATCTGTGCCTCGATACAATCCTGTCTTGGTGGTCTACAGACAATTCCTTGGACTTCATGGCTTGGTTTGTGCTCTGAAATGTACTGTCAACTATGGGACCATATATAGACAGGTGTGTGCCTTTCCAAATCATGTCCAATCAACTGGATTTACCATAGGTGGACTCCAATCAAGTTGTCAAAACAACTGAAGGATGATCAGTGGAAACAGGATGCACCTGAGCTCAATTTTGAGTGTCAAGGCAAAGGCTGTGAATACCTATGTACATGTGATTTTTTTTTTTGTTTTTTATTTTTAATAAATTTGCAAAACATTCAAACAAACTTTTTGTCATTATGGGGTATTGCGTGTAGAATTCTGAGGGAAAAAATTAATTTAATCCGTTTTGGAATAAGGCTGCAACATAACAAAATGTGGAAAAAGTGAAGTGCTGTGAATACTTTCCGGATGCACTGTAAATAAGTCAAGTGAGTTTAATTTCACATTTCATGGTTAAGGGAAATCACTGTTACATATTCTCTATTGTGGCGTAGCGCTTCAGAATATACTGGGGACAACTGGCCTTCATTTAGGAAATATTTGTTCACTACTGCATGTGTCTGTGTAATGGATCAAGCGAGCGAGTGAATGAGTGAGTGAGTGTTCCCACCTTCCTCCTGTGTAATGGATCGTGTGAGTGTGTGAATGAGTGGGCGTGTGTTCTCACCTTCCTCCTCATCGTCCTCGGGTGGCGAGGGCACCATAGAGCCGTGGGATGCAGAGGACAGGATGCCCGGGCTGGCCGTGGTTTTCTTCCTCTCTCTCTCCGTCTCACTCTCCAAATTCACCACCTCATATAGCGTATCTGTGTTACTCTTCCGCTCCAGCTGCCAAAGCAACACAAGCAGCAAAATCCATGTGATTGGCCAAGAGACGGCAACCATGACCAAGAGGAAGACAAACAAAGAGGAAGACCAACCTAGTTGTACAGATGAATATAAGCCATTCTCACTAAGTATAATAGTTTATACTGTGAATTAAAATATTTTTTATTTTCCTTTAATTTTGTTTATTTGATAGAGATAATAGGCGGCACGGTGGCGCAGTTGGTAGCGCTGTCGCCTCACAGCAAAAAGGGCCTGGGTTCGATTCCTGGCCGGGCGACCGGGGTCCTTTCTGTGTGGAGTTTGCATGTTCTCCCCGTGTCTGCGTGGGTTTCCTCCCACAGTCCAAAGACTTGCAGTCAGGCTAATTGGACATGCTAAATTGCCTCTAGGTGTGAGTGTGTGTGTGAATGTGTTCGTCTGTCTGCCCTGCAATGGACTGGCGACCTGTCCGGGGTGTATCCTGCCTTCCGCCTAATGACAGCTGGGATGGGTTCCAGCACCCCACCGCGCCCCAGAGGGATGAGCGGTTTAAATGTGTGTGAGATAGAGACAATAAAGACAAAGATGAAGTACATTAAGACCACAGTGGTAAATGTTTTGTTTTGTAAATGTTATGCTTATCATTTTAAATTATTTCTTTATTTTAATTTGCCATTTTATTTATGCTTTTAGATAAAAACACTTAACATAAAACCTACAAGGTCATAAACAACTTTAGTTTTGATAAAATCGGCACTTTCAATAATACAAAATTGTGCTGACAACTAAAAATTTACATAAAATAAAGTCCTCAACAAAGGGAGAACAGCTGATCTTTCATGGCAATAAATACCCTTACTTTTTGTTGTATTTTGCACTTTTGCCCTGTCATTTGTCAATTTGTTTTTGTCATTTCAGAAACGGAAGGCTACAGATGACATTAGTATGCTAGCAGGGACCTTCATGTCTGCTTTAGCTTTTTTCTGCATTCTGCATATTCAAGCAAGATGTCCTGTTTTCAAACGGTATCAAACCTGTAGCAGAGAAATTTTTGATGCTTACTGTAAAGTTGTGTGTGTGTGAGTGTGTGTGTGTGTATATGTGTGTGCATTTACCTGTCGCAGTTTTAAGTAGAAGGTCTCAGTGTAGCTGCGTTTGCTGAAAGGCCAGAAGAGTCTGTCGGTGGGCGAACACACTCTGACACGTGTCTCCAAAAGGAAACGCACCGGCTCCTCCACCTCTGTGATCACCAGGTCCACTGCCGTCGTCATATACATAAACTTATCTACACCAACCAAACACAAGCACAATTCATCTTTTATGAATTTATTCATGTTATAATTTCGTGCTTTATCTGCCACAAACACAAAACTACTCCACCAATCATTCACAGTCATAGCAAAATATATTTATGCCTTCACACACGCAGGCATGGCAAAAAAGAACTTTAAAATGGTCAATATGATCAGCCACAGACTGACTGCTCATAAACATCTTTATGTGATCTAACCCATTTATCTGAAAAACCACAGAATAATAACTTCTGTCAGTGGAAAATATTGCCAATTTTCATAAAACAACCACTGAAACAAGCCAATATAAAATGTGAATTACTGTCAGATTGACTCACTCTGTTAAGAAGCTGCTGCTGTTTCAACTTCATTCACATCTCACTGTGTGTGTGTGTGTGTTTGTGTGTGTGTGTGTGTGCGCATGTTTACCTTTGGGTGTTTCTTCATTGACAGCCTGAAACTGAGGCGTGTTGGGATTCCAGCTCCCTGTGATGATGTAAGATTTACCATCTGAACTCTTTCCCATTGACTCCTACAGAGGAGAAGAGAGTGAAAAAAGGTGAGGACAGGAGCGTAAAGGAGAAGACACCGAGCAGAGAAGAGAGGAGCATGAAACAGAGGAGAGGAAAAGAAAGAGAGTCGAAGAGAGTTAAAGAGAAAAGAGGAGAGCAAAAAGGAGGGAAGGCGAAGAGGGCGAAAGTGAAGTGTAAAGGGAGTAGAGGATGGACAGGGACCGTGGCCAAAAGAGGAATACAGAAGAAAGGAGAGCAAAAAGCAGGAAAGGAAAAAGGAGGAGTTGAGAGGAGCGAAGGGGAAAAAAAGAGGGACCAAGGGAGTGGAGAGATAAGAAGAGAGAGGGTGATGAAGAGAAGAGAAGAGAAGAGAAGAGAAGAGAAGAGAAGAGAAGAGTGAAAAAGGAGAGGACAGAAGCAGAGAGAAGAGGACAACAATTAGGAGAGGAGAACAAAAAGAAAGGACAGCAGAGAAGAGGAGCGTGAAACAGAAGAGGAAAGAGAGATGCAAAAATAGAGGAGAGGAGAGGAAAGAGAGTCGAAGAGAATGAAAGATAAGAGTTGAGAAGAGAGCAAAACACAGGGGAGGTGAGGAGGGCGAAAAAGGAATTTAAAGGGAGTAAAGGAATGGACAGGGAGTGTGGAGCAAAGAGGAAAGAAAGAGGGACCAAGGGAGGGAAGAGAAGAGAAAAGAAGAGAAGAGAAGAGAAAAGGAGGGAAAAAAAAGAAGAAAAGAGAAAGAGAAAGAGAAAGAAAGCACTTCTGAGCTGATTGAAATGGAATATAATGGTAAGGTGTGAACTACCTACCAGATCTAGCAGGTGCATATCACTATTCCGAACATTTTTGCCTGGACTTAGGAGCAGACCGAAACACCTGCGAAACACACAGACACAGAAAATCAAGATAAAACAAACAACTAAAAATACAAACTAATCAGCAATTCGTTCTCATACTTGGAGGAGTGAGTTGAACACTCAACACCCACCAACACAGACAGAAAAGTTTCAGGAAATGTTTGTCAAAACGACATTCGAGTTAAAATGAATCTACAGCTGTTGTATGCTCAATAAATCACACGTAATCCTGAAAATAGGCACCTATTACTGTTTTGGCTAAATTACACTCACTGGCCACTTTATTTAATAACTACACTGTACTTCTACTTAATGGCAACTATGAGGACCACTTATACAGATTCACTATTTAGGTGTACAGTTACAGACTCCAGCCCTTCTGCTGCCGCAGTTTATCAGCCCCCCTCTACCATATTTATCATTGGTCAGCTTCTGACCACAAGATTGCTGTTGTTTAGATATTATTTCGGTGGTGGACCATTCTCAGCACAGCAGTGGCACTGACATGGTAAAGAGTTTGGTATTACTGCTGTGCCTAAAATATCCAGCCAAAAGCGACTCCATGGTCAGAAACTGACCATTAGTGAAGAGCTGTAGGATGGCTAATATAAACTGTGCATCGACAGAGGAGATACAGTCCCTAACTGTACATTAGCAAGGAGGAAGTAAAGCTTTGTTTCTAATAAAGTGTCCAGTGTAGATGTTTAAGAATGAGCAACATTTCCAGGAGACACACCTCTCAATGGCCAGTTCTTTGTTAGATGTCTGCTGGACATAAATAACAATCTTCTTGTCCATTCCAGGACGAAGCTTGAAGCTCTGTCTGTCCTTGTCCTTTGACACTGCACTGTTGTAGAGACAGAATTACATACATTCAGTGGATATTTTGAAAGGAGTTGTTATTAATTAGGTGACAAAAAATGTTACAATTATTATGTAAAAAATAAAAAGAGCAGTTAAATATAATGATAAATATGAGAATCTGACAGATTTAATGCTGACTGATGGTGAAGATCAGCAAGCTCTGAGGCTTAATAGTATAAATGAGTTTGGGCTCCTTATTTGGCAACAGAACACCATATCCCTTTTTATTAATGTGTGATAAGTAAGTACATGTTTGCAGATTTCAGTACAAAATTCTCAATTTCTGAGTTTAACATATTGGAAATAAAATATAAAATATAAACAAGCGCCATTACTCTTGCCCAGGCCACATTTTATATTTTTTCCCTACAATATGTTAAATTCAGTAAATAAAAAGTAATTATAAATTAAAATTGTGCAGAGCTCTGTTCTCTGTAAAGGATGTATAAACTTATTTTTTATGTAGAAACTCAACACAACATGTAATTTACCCAATCTCTGCATATGACAGTATATATAAAGTTAAAAAGAATCAATGGTCTAAAACAAAACGATTTAAAGCAAATGGCATGTATTACAGTTAACTCTTAGGTCCTGAATACCTTTAATAGAGCACACAAAGTATTATTTAAAAGGTAACAAACTAGGAAATCACTATTGCACAGATATCATATCATGATCCACCAATACTGCTAAAATATTCCTAATACTGAAAATCTGTATCAGAGAACACCAACATCACAGCGTACCACAGACAACAAATCACTCAGCACTCCACAGCCTTATTTAAGAAAAATATCATTTAAGGTCAGACATTAAGAGACAACCAGCTGCCTCCGAATCTTTGCCTTTTTGTGTATACGAAATGTGTTTGTGCGTGTGTGAAGGGTGACGCCCACATCCTGACCCTTAGTCTCGAGGACAGAGGATGGCTGGAGCCAAAGCACGAGGCCTCATCAGGACACCACCATCAAAAATCAGTTTCAGATGAACCAAGCAGCATCATATGTTACACAATTCATTTCCACGGAGAAGCATCACTTTGGAGCGAGAAATTGACTTGTGCTTTGTTGTTGCGGACACGGTTCGGAAGGTTTGAGATTTTTTACTTTCTATCAAACCAGCACAATATGGATCAAATACAATATTATAAATCTAACGTTTTATGGAAAAAAAAAATATATATATATTTTTATATTTTTGCCATGCTTTTGTCTTTACTTGACATCAAAGCAAACAGATGACTCAGACTTCTCCATACAGAATGAAGTTCTAATGTAACTAACTAGTATGTAATTAGTATGGACAGTAATAACCAGACTTTCACTGGTTATAAAATTCTATATAGTGCAGCTCTACTTTTTATGATTACATTTACACTTTCCCTCATAAATTTCTCCTTCTCTCTCAAGCACTTACTGCCCCCCTTACCCACTCACTCTGCCTCTAATGCCACACAGTGTGAGGAGCACAGTATGGTTCTGAGGAAAAGCCTAAAAATAAACCTGGCTTGTTTTCCAAACTCTGTTATAGTGTTGCTGATTCTGTAGGAAAATCTGCCTCCATTTCTCAGCCTACAGAACAGAACCTGCAGAGGTCAAAAGGAGAGAGGCTGAACTGGCACTTTAGTGCTGCTAAAGCGGCAAACACACTTAAAAGTAGCCGAGCAGTTGAAGGCTAATGAAAACCCTGTCAATGTCCGACTTCCATCACCAACTTCATTCTCCCTTTCACAAACAACAGGAACAGAAAACATACATGCATAGTATGGATTTACAAACAACATTACAAACAAACACAGTTGCAGAGTGGGACCCTCATGGCCTTCAGAGACGGTCGATGATTACTGGGAACATCTGTGTAATTTTTAGTTCACTTCTGTTTAATAAAATCATGCGTGTATCTAAACTCACGTATGTGCGTTTACATGAAATCTAGGGAATGTCGAAAGACAGTCTTCTGATTTTGTAATGATGACCATGACAACAGAACTTCAGCAAAGTGATAGCTTAGCATAGCCTCACTGTGAGCTGAGCTTACATTAAAGGCCAAGTTAACTATTTTGTTTAATTGATATTGAAAGATGTGTATAATCTGCTTTTCTGGGACAGATGTAGGTCACTCGAGATCAAGTGTTAACAATGTCTGCAAAACAGTTGAGCCTACTAAGCATTTCTGGTCTGGTGGGGTATAAATTGAAAAAACAAAACTGAGAAGTGAAATATTATAGATTTGTTATTTCAATTTTGATATGCACTAATAATTTCTCATGTGATGTTAGTTATTAGACACAGCATAGGCTGGCTACAAATTGGGTTATACTGGCTTCTGTGCTTTAAAAACTATAGTTTGCATGACCACACAATCTAATCAAACTTCCAGTATGTCTGCTCTCACTTCCAAACATCCACCAGAGACCAGCTGAAGCCGGCCCGAGCGACACTGAGCGATTTTATCGCCTGCCATGTGCATCCAGGACAACACATTAGATTAACCACAAGCATAATCATGAAGTGACAGCAGAACCAAACAATCTCAACTTCCAAAAGACAGGACAAATTTTGTGAGGAAAAAACATCACTCAAAGTTTTCTGGAAGTCCTGAATTTGTCACTGACTGAGAATATGATCTACAGTTTAATCAATGGGCTGTTAGAAATTAAATTAAAAAAGCGGCAGCAGCTCTATAGAGAAAGAGTCACTGCTACAAGGTTAACTGTATTCTAATATGTTTGTCACAAACTTCAAGTAATATATATAGAAAGCCTTTTAGAGGCTTCAAATGCCCGTTTTTAATTTTTGTGGCCAAAAAATGTTAATGTGCATTGCTGTTAGCTTAGAATCTTGCTAGCAGAAGTTAGCATTATACTGTAGGATTTCTATTCTTTGTTTTAACTGAGGTTATACATTTACAGCTCAAATTTAAGGCTTAGCTTTATTAGTCATGGCTAATTCATTGCTCGCATACTCTCTCTGCTAAATGATGATTAAAAAATACCAGCTTCCTGACTTGCAAATGCAAACACCTTTGAGCTTCCTTCACCCTTAATAAAGAAAAGAAATGAGTAGTAATTGGGCCCCATTTACTCAGTTCCACGTACTTCAGCAAAATTTAGACGCTGTTTAATTTCCCGAGTATTCCAGAGACTGCATCCGCTTTGTAAGTGGCCACACCTCTTCACTTTAGAGCTTCAGCATTTTACTTCATCTTATATCATAACGCATAAAAAAAAAACGATAAACTGCTGGATGTACTAAGAAATTCCACTTTCAATTTCAACTGTTTTTTGGAAAGATATTTGTACTATTACATCAGTCATTATTTCACATGAGCATCAATACTTTTAACTATACTTCTTGCATGCTATACAACCAGTGCGCAGCTACTAAACACAGCAAAACCAGCACGTAAAATCGAGCAAGTTAACATGTTCATAATGAACACAGACGCATACACATAGCACAAACAGAGACATTTATGGAGATTTCCTGCAGAGGTGTGAAAGAGCTACTGGTGTGAGAGAGCTCTTTGTCATAAGACGTCGTGGGAGGACGTGAAAAATCATAAATTAGAGGAAGCATGTGTCTATGCTTCCAACTGAGAAAGAGCCAGACAGAAAAAAAAGTCACAAGAGAGAAAAAGAAAGGCGGCTTTTCTCTTCTATTTTTATCTTTTCCTTCATCAGAACAGGGCAGATGACTTCAGAGGGCTCCAAATTATAAATACATATTTTTAAAAAACACTAATTTATTTAAGCAATGAAGGGACAATTCAGCCTAGGCAAACTGATCTCGGTGAACAATTTAGGTGGAATTTAAAAAAAGAAAAAAGAAAATCACACCAACCAACAAACTAAATCAGAATTTTAAGTAACCAACTCCAGCCCAGACTTAGTTTGCATCTCGATTGAGTTTTCTTTGATACTTATGAGGGAATTCAATTTTTTTTTCCAAATTTCTGCTTAATTAATTGGTTTTGAAATAAAATCTTCCGTTCTAGAGAAACATACCGTGTCAGAATTGTTCACAGTGTTGGTGATAGGAACCAAAACTAAAGAGTTTATTATCTCTAAAAGCCACCTTAAAAATAGATGGCACATTAAATGGTTGTGAATACACTGCCTTTTACATGAGACACTGTACATTCTGGGTGCTTTAAGGCAAAATAGTGCCTAAGGAAATTAGATTATTTCAGATTTATTACTACTTTTCCAATATCTACAACAAACTCTGTGAATTTATTGTGAATTTACTGGGCATTTTATGAACTATAAGTAACTGTAAAATGGCTATATTTGTGTTGTAGGCATTGTGACCGCTGGTACCTTTCACCACCACTGTAAAGAAATCTATTTCACATCAAGCCACTTTGAATGACTCATTTACATCTCAACCACTACACAGCATTTTTCAAAAATGGTGGAATTGCCCTTTAAACAAACTTTTCACTGTAACAGTACTATACAATCACACTGATCACTGAAAACTCATTTCCATAGAGGCAAATGCTCCTTAATGCTCTAAAACATAGGTGCCCAGGTTTGCTTCTGGTGATTGACCACCCTGGAGTTTCAACACAACCTTGTTCAGATGCTCTTGAAGGCCTTCATTAAGAAGATCGAGTGTGTCAGATTAGGTCTGAAACTTGGGCAGCCCTGCTATACACTTGCCTGTTCCATGAAACTGCAATACACTACAGGATGGATGGGGGTGACATGGCTGCTATTGTTTTGTTGCATCCAAAAGATTAAATGGCTTTCGCTCAAAGAAATTTTGAAAAAAGATGCCGTAATAGTTCGATTAGCTAAATAATTAAACAACAGATGATAGAGTGAGGGCTTACAGAAACAATCCTTATTTACATTCCTATTTGCAAGGAGCAAAGGATGCAAAGAGCGAGTGAGATTCACCTGAAGGTTCCTTTCCCATCATCCTCTTTGATCTCCAGACTGACGGTGAAGGTGAAAACGTCACTGTCTGGCGTGAGAGGCGGAGCCTGCGTCAAGAGAGGTGCCTTATTGGCCGACCGCCGGAAGGCTGTGGCGAAGCTGTAGAGAATTCGGCTGACCTGTATTGTACACGTACACACACACACACACACACACACACACACACACACACAGACAATAATGACTATATACTCTATTGTTTGTTTCCACCTTCCAGTGGAATTCTAGAGTCGACTCCATTTTTTGTTCTAACTGACGGGAAACAATGAAGTCAACTCCAAAAGTTGATTCCACACAATCTTGGATTCCAAAAGCCAAGAAAAATACAAAGACATCTGGCAAAAATAAACAGCAGTATTTTAACTATATTTGACATTCACAAGGAAATCTGGGGAGATAACACTGGCTAAATTAACTTTGCTCAGTGGTTCTCAAACCGGTCCTCAGGGACGCCGGACAGTCCAGATGTTTGCTCCAACCTAACTTGAAATACACAGACCTGAACAGGTTTGAGAACCACTGACTTACCCAACTAACAGCCTGGATAAACAGTACCTAATTTTTCTTTGTCAACTCTGAGGTGGGCAGATATTTTGGTACTGGCAATGTTGTGAGATTGTGAGGGCGATTTCAGATGATAAGCATTTTTGCATTCTTGCTCCCCACGAGGCTGGGCACACGTTGCCACTGTGCTCACAGCTGGGTTTGAGCGGTGCTACATCAACACATATGCACTGTAGATCAGCTCCAGTTAGAAAACCATCTACCTGACACAATGTATTCACCTGCATTTTGCAAAACACATCAGTTTAAAAGCACAAATGGCTGAGAAGATGAAGACCATGAATAACAAAGTGGTCACGTCATACATCATACGGAGCACTGTGTCTCACTGGTAAAGTGAGACTGAAAGTTCATCGGATGAGTTTGATTAGACTTTGAGCACAACAGCAAGGTGCCAAATCTGAGCAGTGCACAACTGTCAAGGTAGCATGACCAGCGCAAAGATGTTAAGTATTGCCGCTTGTCACCCAAAATCACCCCAAGTCATTTTGTGTTTTCTACTTCATCTTTTTCCTTTCAACAAAATTAAAACCACCATGGTAGGCACAACATTTTATGTCCATTTTACTCTTGGCTGTAAAAATCATCTCAGTATGTGCTAATGTACTAGTATAGGCTACAAATAAGGCAGACTTACTTTGCTCTGCTTTAAGCTTTAGCTCAGCTATAGCCACCTTTCTTGCAAATCTTGTGGGAATCATTTCCACAGAAGAGGAACAGTTTTTTTTATAGTTTTTATTTAAAATGTTCAACTTTTTACGGGGCTAAAGTCAGCCTCTCACTTGCCAGCTGCTTGTTCTAATTTTCCCATTCCACACCTTAAATGGTGTCTGAGCCGCCAGAATGTAACTGCTGCACCATTTAAGGTGGAACGGGAGAATCTGAACAAGAAGCGGGAGAAGCTGACTTCAGCTTAGCAACTTTTTAGTGTTTAAGGGTTTCTCGTTGCAGATGAAATGTATCAGGAAACCAGCTAGAGTGCCTATAAATGCAAATGAATCCATTCGTCTCGAAATTGACATTCATCTTAAATCTTTCTCTTTCCCTTTTCGTTAGCTACTAGCTAGGCAAGATTTTTGTCTGCATTGCTGTGACCAGCAGTCTGCATGTCAAGCTTCAGGGTTAAAGAGTGAATTTGCAGATATAAGCTACATTAACTCCAGCGTTTAAAATCATTTATTGTTGAAACTATATTAGAACAATCAGCAGAGCTTTATTTTACTGCAAAGGAGGATAATTTTATTTTTATCTAAATATCTAGTTCTGCTGTGGAGCCACAACAGGGCAGTAAAAAAGCTGCATACTGCCGATCCTCTGGAGTTCTCTCTTTATTTCCGAAAAATCAGAAACTGATTTTTTGGTATGAAGTCTCAGCCCCGATTGCAGGCAAGTCAGTCTTGTTAACATCCTTTGTGCTGATGTTGTTCCAGAGGAATGAGTCTAATAGCCCTGGTATCATCTATACTTCCGCGCTGCACGGCTCTTCCCTTCTCAAAGAGAAAACAAACACACACGCACACACGAAACCTGTGTTGATTCATCACAGCTATTCTTTTCAAGTGGTCTCTTTTCCAACAATGCACCAATACAAACCACATCAAAACTTACCCCACGTTTTAGCCTCTGGGTGGATCTCTAACTGCCATGCGTACCTCTTTACCTGTGTATGTTTGTGTACATGGTGGAACTAGCTGCACCACTAAGAGGGGTAGTTAAAGCCCTAAGTAATTTTTGCATCTGTGTGGGTGTTGGTAACAGCATCAAAATAAACAAGAAGAAACAACTAGTGCGCCCCCTTCTGAGCAACCAATAACATTACAGAAACGTACTGTGTACAGGAACCACTCACGACGAACAGAAGGCCTAGTTAATGTTCTATGTCTTCACTGATAAAGTAGATTACATTCATACATTATCATATCATCCTCCTCTGCCAGGAACATTGATAGCATACACAAAAAATACATAACTTGGAAGCTAATAAATCAGACAAGGTTTTCTCAACATTAATAAAAAACAAAAGCTTTCTTGCCTTTACAGTGCTAATGTTAACACACTAGCAGCTTTGGCATATTCCTTCAAGTGCAGGTTCCTATTATTTTAACAATGTGTGTGTTTGTGCATGTATGACTCACCGCCTCTTGGATCTCGCAGCGGAAGACGTGGATGCGGAAGATCTCGGCATTGTAGTGGCTTTCGGTGAAAGCAAAACAGTCACTCTCTGGTGTTCCATCGTGACCGCGTACACAAAACAGGATCTTATAGATGGGGTAGTTAGAGATCTCAGTGCTGCTCTGAGGGTCCAGGAGCCTGAGAGAGAGAGAGAGAGAGAGAGAGAGAGAGAGAGAGAGAGAAATAAAGGGACACATATAGCTGATCACATTGTCTCATATATACACTGATCATTATTTTACTGCTGTTGTAAAAAGAAAAAAAACTTTGTACCCTCAAATGGTAACTTTGGTTTATAAATTTATATTATATATATATATATATATATATATATATATATATATATATATATATATATATATATATATATACATACACACACACACACATACATACATACATACATACACATATACACATATACACATATATATATATATATATATATATATATATATATATATATATATATATATATATATGAGGTTCCCATAACACTGATATGCTACAGTAGAATGTGTTATACTGTGATACACTGAGAGTTGAGTTTAACATTGAGAGTAAGTATTACAGGGAGTGTTCAAAGTATTACTTGCTCTGTCATACATCATTCAGGTATGTGCACTGTGATCAATTTTGAAATTCACATATCTGTAGGAGTTTATTAATGGATGTTCAGTTAATCATGTGGTAACAAAAATGGACTTTTTATCTGATATTAACACATTAAAGTACGCAGGGTGAACTGAAGTACTGGAGGCGGCCTTAAATGAGCTAGATGGTGGAGTAGATGGTGATGACTCGTCCATCTACTCGTCCACACAGTTTTTTTCATCAGAATTGGTTTGCCAACATGGTTGTCCAGTTTTGAAATTTTAGTAGAGTGAAATATTCTTTTACTGTCTGAGATGATGATTTGTAGTTTTGTGATTAATAATTATTTATTTATTTTTCCTTTTTCCCTTCCCTTATTCTGTCTCATTTTGTCTGGGTGTTCTGTTGCTTGCTTGTTCGTGTTTTGTTGACATAGTTTAATAAAAATAATAATAATAATAAAAATTTGATAAAATATTGTTTTACTGTTTTAGGTTCTAGCTAAGACTTGTCCTTAATGTGTCCTTAACAACGCATCCAGAACAATATGCTCAAGTTAAGGAACTCATGTTCAAGTATAATATAATATGCTAACTTAATCTTAAATATGATCTAAACTGTCACACTTTACAAACCTGTTAAAAGTTAATGCACACTAAGTCATTAAGCTGTATATTTTCTCCCTGATGCTCAGTATTGCAGCTAAACAAATATACAAATAGTGATTTCTGTATTCAAATACTGCCCCATGAAACAGTTAACCTAGCACTCTTCTCCCTGAGCACCTTCCTAATAACAATGTGTAATGGTTTTGGGAAATCTCTCACCCTCTCACTCATACACATTCTAGTGTTTGTGTGCATCAATACAAGACCTGAAAGCATTAAAAAAAGCATTTAAGCTCTAGTCAATCAGCTCTTACTCGTTCTACCTTTTCCTCCCTCTCTCTGCTTACATGTACACAAATATGGCACGTGTGCGCACACCCTCCTTGCTTTTACCTGACGGTTCCCTCAGAGACTCCAGGCACAGAGAGGGTGACATCGAGTGGCATTTGGCACTGGCTACGCAGAATGCTCATCATACGCAGTGCCTCCACCTCACTGCGGGGGGCGTTCACCGACGCACAGCCCAGATACGTCAGCTTACTGAACACCACACTGTCCTCATCTGGCACGGGCGTACCAGGGCTCGACACTGACCCGTCATCTGGACAAAAGAACCACACAGGGGTCAGAATTCAGTACTCGATGACCATTTTCAATTGCTTTTCTATCGTAAAATGAACCGGCACAAATTTCTCTTTACCCCAAATGTAGAAGACCAGCCAAGACATGTTTTGTGTCTTTGGCTGTTCTGTGTCTTTTTGCTCTAAGGCTAATGTGCAATTGTGCAAGCTGCATACCTAAATTATTATACTCATTAAGTTGTTAAATAATCTCAAGTAGACTGGTTTCTGGCATGGTATGACCCAATGTTAACCATAAAAATGGATAAAGGTACACTGCATAGATACAAACAGTTACCACCAGCTATGTTAATGCCTAAATTTTGTCTTTTGTCAATTGTCCAACTCCAGGGTTTTAAAAACAGTCAATTCAATTCAAGTGACCAGCCTGGAGAACTCATAGCTGCTTCCCAGCTTGCATTAGGGCATTGGTTTCTCAGGAAATATTTGTTAATAAGCTGATTAGTTTGATTAGGGAAAACACCAAAATATGCAGGACAGTGGCTCTCCAAGGAGCAGAACATGGAACCCCTGCATTTGAGGAATCCTACTCTTTTCTGGCCCGTCACTAAGCTCACCCTCTTGTGCTCCCTGAACAGGCAGCACCATATCCAGCTTCGGGGGTGCAGGGCCTGGCTGTGGTGGAGCAGCAGTGGTGGGGTAGCCATGGTCCCCCTCACCCACATGGTGTGGTCCGGGAGTCACCTCAGCCACCGACGGGTCCATAAGCACATCCTCCAGCTCCCTCTGCAATTGCTGTTCACTGCCGTTCCCCACAATCTGCACGCAAACACACACAAATGTGTCACCACATATAAATGACTAATGTACAATGCTATGCAAAAGTCTTAGGCCACCTTAGAAAGTCAGATTTAAAGCTGTTTGTCTGAGCAGTCAGCAGCTATTAGCCTGGAAAATACTAACATTAGAATAAAAATAAATGCAATAAATTGTGACTGTGTATCTGTTAAACACGGAGAGGAGGAACCAATTCTGTGTTCTACAACCAGCACCCAAGATATCAATAACTACTGAAAATAAGAGGTTCTTGTTACATTTAGCTGTATTTGTATTTATTTCTAATGCTATACAGCACAAAAACCTACTTATTGTGGCAATAAATATATTTTTGTTTCTTGCTAGGTGTCCCACAATCACACAATGCTACCTAGCTGGGCTAGCATCACATGATAGCGGGCTAGCACATGCTTTCCTCCAAAATATGAGAAGTGTCACCGTATTTTCTTAAACTGTTGGTAACACAATGTCACTGAACAGCACAACATGCTTGTAGGAGAACACTAATGCTGCTTTCAAGTGCAAGTGGGGCAGCAGTTTTCTCCAAAGAGGAATTTGTTCACACAATGTGCGCGTTCATATCGTTTATATGAGAGATAAACAGAACACTAAGGTTGTGAAACAGGTGTTATAGTTCATTAGCTAGCTGCCATTACCAGTTTTGGCATATTTTACTGGTGTTTTGAACTCAACAGTACATTCTTAAAATGTATTTAATGGGGAATTTTATTGTGAGGTATTATTGAGTGGTTTGATGTCTAATGGTTAACTGTAGAGAAACTTACTTATCTTACAGTGGTGGTGATAGGAACAAGGGGTTGAAATGTCTAGAGTACAAATTAAACCATTTTATTTACTATCCAAAACCACCAGTGAACCTACACTTGTCTTCTGAGGTTTTTTTTTACATGTAATGTTAATAACGATAAAATAGCAAATCTGGAAAAACAGGTTTTTTTGGTACTATTTTGCACACTGGCCTGCAAGTACCACTCCACCATGAATATGTTTTTTTTCAAAAAAGATGTTTTAGGCCAAAGCCTTACCACAAAAGCATCATAAAACAATGTCTCAGGCATCAGGCAGTGTTTTCATAACCAATTCACCCAATAACTTTCTGTAAGGGAGCTTTAAGAGACATTAAACGTTTAGGATGTCTGGTTCCAGTCACCACCACTGTGAACTCTTCCGGCTTGGCAAGTTTCTGTAGAATAGAACATTTCACATCAAACCACTCTGAATAACTTTGCTTTAATAACTGAATTAAAAATGTTGAAAAATCATTGGAATTCCACTAGCCATTACCATTTATTATATCTGTACAGTTTATCTGATTGCTTTTTACTGTTCAACTGTTTGCTTCTATCTTTTTTCATTGTAAAAACAGCATTGATGTCTAATTTTGATGTACTCAACTTCTTCATCTGACTTCAAAGGGCGTTCAAGTGGTGTCTACTGTTGGGAAGCCAGGACTATTATGTTCTTTGGACTCCTGCCTCGATAAATAGCTTTAAACCATTTTCTTGACTGGTCTAAGACTTCTGCTTAGTATTGTAATCAAACGAGCTTGGAGACACATGTCACACTATTAAGGATGTTTAACATCTTTCACCACATAGGAAAAATGCAATCAAATCCAAATCTTTGAAGAGCAAACCACTTTTCCCTTACAGCCCTTCTGATTTTATCGTCCTTATAACCCCTGATGATCAGAGATTTTTATTACTGAAGCTCATTTTTAATGTGTGCTTTGGATTTTCCTCATTTCATTGATATAAGATTGGATAGAAAACAGAGATTAAGACAGGATCCATTATTCTTGGCTTTATCAAAACCATCAATTGATATGCAGATTAAAACAGCAGGACATTCTGACAAAAAGATCACTTGTGAATGTGTACACTGGACAGTTTTACAGACTTAGGGGGATTTTTTAGACCACGATTGCCTTTGCATTACCTTGAGTAATACATGTCTCCACACATTTTTTCTGTGTTGTCGCTTTCTGAATAAACCTTATATGACTTAAATAAAAGTCACAGAACAGCTCTTCCAAAAAGCGCTGCAGGCAATACACTGGCTGGAGGAAGCTGATATGGAACACTAACACAGAGGCCAGGTAGTTGTCTGAAGCCACTGTATGTATGCTAGCATGTAGGTATAGCAAAAGACATTGAAACTGAGAGGATGTTGCATAGCTACACAGGGAGCTACACATGGCCACTCATTTGGGGAGCAAAGTGGCTATCTGAGAGCGAAGACCCTTTGAGGACACACAAAAAAGTATGAAGCTAAAGCAATGCTATAGCTATAGCTAGCTAGCTATAGCTCACACCACTCCACTATATGGGCCAATCAAAACGATGGGAAAAAAAATCAACAGCCAATCAAACACGGAGCACAAGGACGGTCACAGAACATAAAGAGAAAGACAATCTGACAGAGAAAGATCTAGAAAGAGCAACAGCATGGGAGGAAGAAGGAAAAGAGAGGAAGCAAGCATGGAAGCAAGAGAAGAGAGACAGCAAGAGTGGGAGAGAGGGAGAGAGAGAAAAACTGACCTTAAAGCTGACCCCTTCTTCAGAAATCACCTGTATAACAAACAAGAGGTTTAGAAAGCCTCTTCCAGGGGGGCACACGGGGAAGAACATGGAGAAGCATGAATTAATGGAAAAACAAGTAGAGGAATACATTTGATACTGAGAGCCAAACACCACAGCCATCAGTATTTAGGTCACACATGCTGTATGTGTTTGTCCAAGGCAAAGAAAAGAAAGTGCAGACACTGTCTAAGTACTAGATTTGAGAAAATCTTGTATTGACATCTTTGAAAAGTGAACATGTAATGAATAAGTGTTCTGTGAGCGACCTCTAGTGGTTGAATTTGGCTCACCCAGAGTGAAGGTGACAGAAACTGAGCCACTGAGACACATGATAAAGCCACAATGTGAAAAGATGTGGGGGAATAAATAAACAAAAGACACATTGACTTTACAGTGACAGAATGGACTACATGAGCAGAAAAAAAGACAACAGAACGGGACAGCATGTCCTGTTCCACAACTCCCATTTGAAGAAAAGATGAACAAAGTGCTCGAAAATGACCCAAACCACAAAAACCACGAGCAAAGATGGCAATGACATGAAAGAGGGATTTCAGAAGAGGCAGTGAAAGAAAGCACAGAAAAAAAGACGGAACAATGTATGCTGGGTCTTCTAGGACGCTGCAACAAAGGAGTGAACAGGGTATTCATATGCTATCCATCGCCCCAAAGAGTGTGCGAGTGTGACAATATTGTCCTTGCAAGCAAACCAAACCGATGTCCTGAAAGCTTTACAGCGCAAAACAAGGAGTGAAGGAATGGACATGGTCTCATGAAAAATAGTGGACAGGTGCTGAAAACACAAAAGTGCAATTCTCCTGTGGGTGAGAGATAAAATCATGAAGCTAAATCATACAAGTATAACTGAATCAAGAGTGAGATTTAATTATTTACTAAATCACTTTCTAAACAAATCATGAAGCCAGATATTTACACCCCTAATTTTTCCTAGAAATGAAGTTTGGAAAAGCAAGTAATGTAATATGTTAAATTAACTGCTTAACTAAAAGACTCTGATAAAATGCTCTTCTATGACCTTTACAGCTGTGCTTAAGATATCTTGTTGTAGCCGTCTCTTCTGTATCTCCTGTTTGTATCTCTGGGCTGTTTTGTCTAATAGTAAAGCTTTATAGTTTTAATCTTCAATATAACACAGCTAGGGTCAACAAAGGTCCAAATATGTGTTCCTTTCAGGGACATGATTAACTATAAGCAGTTATCAAACAAGTATATTAAATAAATCTGTGCAATTGTCAAACTAATAAAAGACCTGACTCACTCCAGCAATGGTGGATAAGACTGTTTCCTAGTGTTGGTGTTGTAATACCTCCATAACGCACACTGGCTTTCCTGCTAGTCAGTCCTGTTCTAACTGACCTATTCATGCTCTGTCCACAACAAGCAGCTGTTAACAAGCTGGACAACCTTTACTGAGTGTTGCAAAAATTCCATTCAAACTGATGAGAAATTGCAGCGCACAATTCAGTTGTTGTACAACAAACTGAACTTAGAGTTCATTATTAATTTAAAATGATTGTTCTTTAATATGTCTGTGCCAAGTCACACAAGTAAGGACAGATGAAGTGTAGTTCGGTTTTGGGATGCACCAATACTCCTTTTCCCTTCCAAAATAGAATACATATATAACCTAACTACTTAATAGGTGCCTGCATTTATTTGTTGGACAACACAGTCACACTCCTTTTATCTACACTCATTATCCATTTTATCAGTTTCACTAACCATATACAGTTTTAGAATGTTTTGAATCATATTTAAGTAATAGGCAGTTCATGGTTTCACTTGAAAATCATTCATCAAAAAGATTTGCCATTTCTTGTGGAGTCCCTCAAGGTTCAGTCTTAGGGCCTTTGCTTTTCTCTTTGTACATGCTACCTCTAGGTGATGTCATTAGGAAGCATAATATAAATTTTCATAGCTATGCTGATCACACCCAGCTATACATTTCTATTCCTTCTGAAGATCAAGACTCTGTAGACAGACTAACCAGCTGTGTGTCAGATATTTCTCAGTGGATGTCACAAAATGTTCTACAATTAAATGATGAAAAACTGAAATATTGATTGCTGGTAAAGAAACTCAGAGAAAAATGATTTATGAGAAACTTGGTTCTTCAGCTTCATACACCAAACCTGAAGTACGAAACCTGGGTGTGATCTTAGACTCTGTTTGATCTGAGCTGTTTTATCCCGCATGTAAACAGAGTCACTAAAGTAGCTTTTTATCATTTGAGAAATGTCGCTAAAGTTCGGCCTTTTCTCTCTCAGAGCAATGCAGAGAAACTTGTTCATACATTTGTTACAAGCACACTTCACTACTGTAATGCTCTTCTTACCAGACTTCCTAAGAAAACTATACATCCCTTACAACTCGTACAAAATGCAGCAGCGCGCATCCTAACAAAAACAAAGAAGAGGGATCACATCAGTCCTGTTTTAAAAGAACTGCACTGGCTGTCTGTATCATTCAAGATAGATTTTAAAGTTCTGCTACTAGTTTTTAAAGTTCAAAATGACCCTAAAGCATCGCTTACATCACATGTCTGTCTGTTTATGTTCCGGCATGTAATCTAACATCTGCAGATAGTGGCCTTCTACAAATACTCTCTGTAAAATACAGAAAACATGGAGAGGCCTCTTTCAGTTATTATGCGTCTAAACTGTGGAACTCAATTCCACCTTTTATTAGACAGTCAAGCTCAGTGCTCACTTTTAAGAAGCATCTAAAAACGTATCTCTTTAACTTAGCATTTAACTAAAACTCTACATCTCGTGGTGTTTATCTTGTAATTTAATCTTCTTCATTTTCTTCTGATTCAAAATAAATACTAATGTTTTCTTATATAACTGTTTTATCACTTGTCTGTAAAGCACTTTGAGCTGCCACCAGCATGAAAAGTGCTATACAAATAAAAATTATTATTATTATTATTATTATTATTATTATTATCATCATCATCATATAGGAACACCTTGTATTTCTACAATTACAGACTGTAGTCCATCTGTTTCTCTGCATACTTTGTTAGACTCCTTTCACCCTGTTCTTTAATGGTCAGGACCCCAACAGGACCACCACAGAGCAGGTATTATTTGGGTGAAAGATCATTCTCAGCCCTGCAGTGACACTGATAGTTACTGTTTCTGACTTTATGTCTACAAGGTGGACCAACAAGTTAGGAGTGTCTAAGTAGAGCCCGGCTATGTCCGATCCACTTGTGCCAGCACAGCATGTAATACTTGCTCTGTGTTGGTCCTATGGGGGTCCTGAACACTGAGGAACAGGGCAAAGGGTGGCTAACAAATTATGCGGAGAAATAGATGGACTACAATCTGTAATTGTAGAACTACAAAGTGCTCCTATATATAAATGGACCTGATTAAACGGGCAATGAGTACAAACGTTAGGCAGGAGTACTTAACAAAGTGGCTGGTCAGTATACAGTGGTGGACAGTAACTAACTAAATGCAATTCGTTACTGTACTTAAGTAGTTTCTTTACTTTACTGAAGTATTTCCATTTTGGGCAACTTTTTACTTTTACTCCACTACAATTCAAAGTGAAATATCTTACTTTTTACTCCACTACATCATGCATCTGTCATTACTTTTGGCTTATGTGTGTATGAAAACGTGATGTCAAAACGAAAGAAGCGTGAAGCAAGAACACCAATCAGGGTACAGCACAGACTTTGTTTTGAGCTTGTTTTGACCTGTTGGACACACCTACCCAGTGCAAGCATACAGTTCAATGTCAGTGCAGCAGCGTAAAATTTTGTGAGTGCCTATTCCAACATAAATAATGGAACTGACCTAACCTTATGTAAATAGACCACAATATAAAAAAATATGTACACATATGCAGTTGTGACGGACGTCTTTTTTCTGAGTTTATACAAACACTATTTCATTTTATAGTAAATTTGTTTTTGCTAGTTTAGGTTTATGAACAGAGACCTGCAGAGGGAATATAGTAAAGGAAAACACATTTGTGAACCTGTGTTTAAAGCAAGTTTTATTAAACTTAAAACAAATCACTTGCAAATAAATCTTAAACAGAAACTTTGCTTGTTTGCAAAAAGTTATTTCATAGCCACTTGGTTCTACCAAATGGAAATTGTTTGCCTTCAGTGTTTTGTGTTTATGATCATTTTAATAGACATCAGTGACTAATTAATGACATTCTATTAAAAGATTGGTTTACCAAGAGAGACACTAGCGTATTTTTACCTAAAATGAGTTAATGAAGCAAGAGTCTTGTTACAAAAATAGTAATGGGACATCAGTCATAATTAATCTTTTAGTATGTTTACTTTCGATACTTAAGTACATTTGAAGGCAAACACTTTTGTAATTTTACTCAAGTGGAGGTTTAAAGGGAGGACTTCTACTTTTACTGGAGTAATATTTTACTTTGGGTATCTCTACTTTAACTCAAGTACATGATTTGTGTACTTCGTCCACCACTGTCAGTTTACATGTATATGGTGATACAGCAGCTTCTCTGGGCCCAGCAAAACAGTGCTAAATGTTGTTTCGTGTTCAAAGTTTACAAGTCATATGAGTATGAGTGTCAGAGTTTGGTAAATATTACAGTCAGTCATTCATGCTATCAGTAGCAGCTGTATAGCTGGCTTAATGCAAGCACTAGGCCTCACGACTGTGGCGTCATCTGAGGCAGGTGACTGATGGAGACTCACCGCAGGCAGGTGGAAATAGAAGCATGGCTAGCAGCCTGCTAAGATAAAGGCTATTCCTTCCATTATCTTGGACTTGGATTAATATTAATTCAGACTGCACCTGACTATACAACAGGAGATGAGAGATTACTGAAAGATCCCAGCCAGCCAGCTAAGCGTTGGGCTAACGTCAAGTTAACACGAGCAAGGAGGCAAATTTGTTAATTTAGTTTTCAACATGCAGTATTTTGAACCGGAAACTCAACATCATAAACGCAGATCGCTACAATTTCTCATTAGGCTGAACGGCATTTTTGCCAGCGTTCTGTAAAGCTTGTCCAACCTCACAACAGTTGAAAGAACATAGTGGGCGGAGTATAGAAAGGTTAATTATAAAGGCCTTCATCAGGTATTTTAGAGCAGGAGGAACAATGAACTTCTTCTTATTGTTGGGATACTGTAGGACTGAGAGTGGGAACCAAATTCTACTCACTGAAGCACTCCAAAGGACTGAAAGGTGTTTTTGTGTTTCAGGTAATGAATGACAGCTGTCTACCTGCTCAGCCAAACAGTCTTACCTTCAGGCCTGTCTTTTCATCGTCACTGCCGTTATTAGTGGAGGGGGTTTCGTCCCCGAGGCGGGACACCAGGACAAAGTCCTCGCTGTTTAGGGTGGAAACCGAGTCGGAGGAGGCACTAATTTTCCCCACGGAGGCCATGTCATCCATGACTGCTAAACGGAGCCCGACGCACTCATGAATGGGGTTTAAAGAGCTAAATCACCTGCAAAAAATGGTAAACGAAAAGAAAAAAGCATGAGGAAAAAGAAATGAAAAGCATGAGAAGCATTTTAAATTTGCTGCCATGTCTTTGCACAAGTTTGCTGCCCAGTTGCACAAACACTACCTTTATAGTGCCAGTTACAAAGTAAAATAGGTTATTTGTAGATATCCAATTTTACAGCAACAATGTTTCCCAGTCTACAATGTGGACTATCAGTATACTGTCACATATCAGATGGCCCCCAAGTGAGCGGTCCACAATGGCAAGAGTTAGGGAGAATCCCCATGTAAAACACTTTGATGACCTAAGATGTATGAAGAAAAAAGTGCTGTACAGTCAGTCATTCACTGATGGCCAGACATCAGGAAATGAATGAACAGCATGGGATGTGAGAGACAAAGAAGCTATCAAGAAGCTGACATGGGCCACATATTGTTATAGACTGTGATGCCTGCTGTTTAAAAGTTTGGAGTTTTTTCAATGATATAAACCCAATGTGGTTGCAGATAAGCACATATAAAAAGATTCTAATATGTTATTCCTGCACAACTTCACATTCCAGATCATCAGTGGAACACTAGCAAATAAATAAAAAACTAAGAAGTGTCCCATGTGTCCAGACTGATGAACGGAGCTGCAGAAGATTTTACAATGACAAAGAAAGCTGCATAACACTGAGAATCAAGTTATAATAAAATAAATTTTCAGAACAGTTCAGATCAAAACTCAAGGCACATAAAAATGATTGTAAAGAGAAAACAACAGTATATCATTTATGATTTTATTAACTTCTTGGTCACAGAATTCTTGAAATACTGAATAAAACATCTAAAAATGTCTTTCGCCGACTAGTTTGTAATATTTACATCCCGATTTAAATGAACACAAGCTATAGCATGGCAATGATACAATACATATGTTTATATGTAGAAAATAATTTGATACTTTGAACTGCAAAAAGATTTTGGCAATAATTCATTCAACACATTTACATGCACTTAAGTAATCTGATAACGGGAAAACTCTTGGATTAGATTTCTTTCTAAATATTTGACGTATGTACCTCTGCAGTGGCTTGCAATGGGTTACTAAGTCCACAGGAGGAGAAGGATGTGATATTTTGGTGCAGACGTAGTCAAATCTAATATAAAAAGTTAATATATAGTATATTTGTTTTATATATTTTTGGATTTCTACTTCATTGTTGTTTTGGTGCAGGTGGAGTGTACAAATTATGTATTATTTTAAAAAGACACCATAGTATGCTGTGTACATGACCAATCAAATAATACAGCAACTTTTGAAATCAGATACTGACCGTATTATTAGTGTGGCACCACACTCAGTGATGCTGTAATAATTAGAAACAGGCTAAGCAATGACTCATCTCTAGATGTAGGTTTTGGGCCAAAACCTTCTCACAACTGTCATTAAATAATGTTTCTAGCATCAGGAAGCATATTTGTAACCATTTTGCATAATAACTAGTGAGTCATCTTTTAGAGGCCTTAAACGCTTCAGATATCTGATTCCCATCATCTTTTTAGAACACAGCATTTCACACCAAACCACTCTGAATGGCTTTGTTTACATCTGAATCCTTTAATTATGCACAACATCTGAAAAATCACTGGGCCATTTCCAGATGATATAAAAGTAGGTCATCATGCTGAAACTACTCAATCACTTCACTACCCCACAGGAAGAAATATACAGCTAATAACATCACATCACACAGTGTGAGCGAGTGCTGTCTCAGGACAGATTTGTTACAGGATTGAACTGGATTAGTTCTATTTGTCCCTTCTTCATATTACCTTTGAAAAAATAAACATCATTCCATCCTCCGTACATGATGACACAGATGACAATGGACGATTATTAAGGGAAAGCTTTAGCAGTGTATTTTGTCTATTTAACATGGAAAATGTCAGTGGGACACTCTGTCCTCTTTTAATTTTTGTTGTATAATACTGTGTTCACCTGGATTTCAACAATGAGATGTTTGGAATTAATGGCTGCCCAAAGAAATAATTAATTAATTAATTGATAATAATCAATCATTCAGTTTATTTCACTGCAGTGGTTGACAACAAAACTTGGGAAAACTGAACTCTTGACAGAACATTCAACTTATCAGTGCAGTCAGCGGACTGCGGCAACTGGCAGTGGTGGAATTTTCCGTTCCGTTATTTAAAAAAAATGTAATATTTAGTTTGCCATCTACTGCCAACATGTAGCATAATAGTTCGATCCCTATTGATGCTACAGCCATCCGTGGCCGGGAGTCCAAGAGAGCACAATTGGCCTTGGTCTCTGGGTGGGCTAGGATGCCCCCCACCCCATTCACTGAATCATTTTTTGCTGAACCAGATCACTGTATTGCTGAACCAGATCACTGTATCTCCTCTCTGGTCAATACACACTGTGCAATATATCACAACAATTACTGTAATGACACTTTGACTATGCACTTTACTTTACACTATAATATTGATGCAACTCAGAGTTAGTTTGTCTATATGTGCTTTTAGTTCACCTCATACCACTCAGTGCCTGCTGTATTGTAAATACAATAAATCTGTCTCATGTAAATTTATTTTACTTTTATTTTATTTCTCAAGTACTTTAACTTATGTCTAGATTTATTTCTATTTTCTATTTTTCTGCATAGTATATGTAAGTTTATGTGCAATTATATGTCTTGCTACTGTAACACTGCAATTTCCCTCCAGGATCAATGAAGTTCTCTCTATCTATCTCTCTATCCCTCTATCTATCTATCTCTCTATCTATCTATCTCTCTATCTCTCTATCTATCAACATGATGCTAATCGGCGCATGCATCTCAGAGGAAGCCTGTACTAGCCTTCATCCTCCTAGCATGGTTGTATCGTGTGATTGGGGGAGTCCTAACAGGTGGGTGGAATTGGATATGACTAAAACTGGGGAAAAATAAAAAAGTATTGTATGTTACCACAGCAATGCAAGGTGAAAAAGGCCTACACAGTACTCCAAAGTTGTTTAATTGAGGTCATTCCAAAGTAACCACAGACTTATGACCACACTATCCAATTTAAAACAGCACATTTACACTCACAGAATTACAAACAAGTAGCCTACTGGTTTCTTACTGTGTATTGCTATAAGACCTTTTTACCAAGGATCCAAGATCTGGACCTTCCAGCTTTAAACAAAACATGCTTGATCGGTCTTTTGCTTCATGTTTCAGGCATTTACAACTACTCAGCAGAAACTTGAATGGAGCAGAACAGACAATAACCAACAAAAACTTGTCCTGTCACGTTTAATCTACACACAGTGGTATGAATATTAGTAGCCTTCCAGCTGTACTGTTGTGGTCACGGGAATAGAAGAGCTTAAGATAAGCACAATGCAAATCATACAGCATCTCTATGGCAACATGTAAATATCACACACTGACACACTGGTCGCACCCACAGGTTCCAGTGTAGAGACAATCTATTTAAAAGTGTTAGACTTTTAAAACAAAGGTTTCAAACAGTAAAAAAGGTATTTTAACTGTGTGCCTCAAAGCACACTCTCTCACAGCACGCTTTCAATGTCAACATGTCTTTTTATCATCCATGCAAAAGGAAAGGCAGGCAAAAAAGAGGGAGGCAGAAAGAGAGAGAAAACAACTAAAAAAAAAAAAGAAAGAGAAAGAAACCAGTTGAGCAGGAAGGTGCCAGGCTGTAGCAGTAGGAAGATAAAGCTGGCAGAGGGTCAAACAAAGCGCACGCTATATTTGGCAGCTCTTCCCTCCAAACAATGGTGAAGCAGAAGAAAGGGAAGATGGCATCACGTTCACACGAGGAGACGGACAACACAGGGGTGTCTGAAGGAATCCTCAAGCTACATTTAAGAGTTTTTAAAATCTACTAAATCTACAAGTGTAATTCATTCAGTTTGTCCACTCTTTGCCTTTTTAGAGCTTCCACTCTTTCAGTTCAATAAATCTGCAAGGATGTTTTTCCACAGCTCCACTGTTCAGTCTTAGAAGTTGCCTGCATTTTCTGCCACTGTTTTGAGAACACCAGCAGTTTGATTGCTAGATTGTCTATTTCCTTTTTTCAGTAAGAGCTTCTTAACAGTTACACATCCTTTCAAACCCATAGTGCTGAGTTGTCTTTTCACAGTGGAAGGGCGGACATAAACACCTGTGGATTCTGATCTGAAGCAGCTTGATTTTCTTCACTCTGTCAAAGATGAAAGCTTTAAGTGCTGTTTATCTGTCTACCAGGTCTTGCATGGTTGTTAGAAGTCCAATTTTGGAAACTGCTGTTTTGGAAAGTCCCATTTTTAACTTTGATTTTCTTATTTCTAATGTCCTCAGAACTCTCCTTAAAACCTACAGAAAAATGAATATCTTGTATTTAATGAGAGGAAATTAAATCACAAAGAGTTTTATACAACAGTATAGCTCATTAAAAAGGTAATGTTACTTTAAAAATGCAATTTCTTGAGTGACATGATCACAAATACGTTCTTTAAAAAAATTTCTGCATCCTAAAATTTAAGGCAATGTGAATAAATGTAACAATTCAAGACAATTTAACACTCATAAACGCCTTTAATTTGAAAAATACCATAGCAAAATGATTGATACTATTGTGCATCTGTAGATACTGTTATCAAGGCTACGCCATGACAAGGTGTTAGTATTAGTTATTATTATAATTGCCCCATAATTCAACATCAATGCATTCTCAATACTATTATTAATAATAATTTACAATACATTTCTAAAATTTATTTTGGTTTTCTCTCCTTGTGCATCATTTTCTCTCCTTGTGCATCACTCTGTGTCCCTGTAAAAAGAGCCGTAGGTCAGAGAGTTCAGTCAGTGAGGGCTGAGAGGGAGAGGAAGTGACCGGCAGGCTGTTGCCTGGTGAATGGGCTTGGTTGAGTGCTGTTTTCCTGAGTCTGCGTATTGTGCTATGTTCTAATGGACGCAGCCTCAGAGCAGGCCCCTAGAG